AGTTCATTGGACTGCCAGTTGACTATTTAAATTCCCCGTACTCTGTGTTTCGGCTATGCCCTTTTACCCCGGAGGCTTTCGAAGTTGGTTTTTGCATAATGTTTTTATGGCTCGACTTCCTTTTTGTGTCGTTTAAGTTTCCATTTCCACTTTGAGTTGGGGTTTTGCCACAGCCCTGCCCTGCCCCTGCCCCTGCCCCTACCCTTTTCATTTCTTGGCCGCGTGTTTGTGTAAGGCTCAAGTATGTTTAAGTAAAGTTTGCTCGCAAACTTTTGTCAAAGTATTTCGTGTTCTCAAATATTTTCATTTGCCGTGGCAGCTGCACCAAATAATTGAGGTTTAGTTTTTTGGCCCCAAAAGCGGATGTTCTTTTTCGCTTGGTCAAAACAAAAAAGAAAAGGGAAAAAGAAAAACCCGAAACCAAAACCGAAACCGAGGCCGGGCTGCGATGATTTGCGGCAAGCAAATTTATTGACAATTCATGGCTCTTGGTTGCCCCGAAATCCTGCGCTGTGTGACGAAGTGAGCGAGCGAGTGAGGCGAGGCCGTTCAAGCGTTTTGTTGAACTTTTGCGCAAGTTTGTCGCAAGTTTCCGTTTCCGGCTGGCATGCCATGACAAAGTGCCGCACATTAAGCTGTAGATTTTTCATTTTTCCTCGCTCTATCTCACTCGAGCTGTGCTCGCGCTCCTTCTTATTCTCCATCCCCTTTACCCCGGTTTACCCTGTTTTTGTTATCACTGAGGCCGCAGCCAAGACAAACCGAAAAGCGCAAAAGTTTAAATTAATGACACTCAACTATTAGCAAAATTAAATAGTGGCAAGATTATGTCTGCAAACTTGGAATGCGGTCAGGGACAGGGCTGGGATTCAGGCTCCCCATAATCTTTTGCTAGCTCTTGCTCTTGCTCCTCGCTTTCCATTTCCATATTTCAGACTGTGGCCAAGAATATCGGCCCAATTTGCGTTGACAGCGGCTGGAAGTGGGCAACAGGCTTGTAAATTGCCAATGACGCAATCGCCAGTTGTTGTTTGTTGTTTGCTCGGATGTGTGAGTGAAAACTTTCACTATGCCGTGTTGTTCGACATTGAAATGCACTCTGGCGAACTAAGTTTGTCCGACAAAACTGAAATCAAACAAGTGCCAAGGCTGCCATGAATAATTGGACCAAAGGATACCCTATTGTTTATTACTTTTAGGAACATTTAAAATTGGAAAGAGATCATTAGTCAAAAAGTAAAAGTTCTTAAAGTTTAACTATTTCTTAGTAATGGTTGCAATAGTATAATAGTTATACGTATTTCTATATTGAATATAAAACTAATCTGGCTATAAATTTACATAAAAATCATAGAAACCTTTTCAAAATAGTAAGAGGAAATATTTTAACATTTTTCTCGGTTTTACAATTCCACAAAAGTTGCAGTTTACTCAGCTTTACAGCAAAGTTACTAGCATACAAATTAGTTTCCACCAGTTAATAATAAACAATTACTCAATTATATTTAGCCAACGATTTAAAACAATAGAAACCATTTTCCACTTATTTCTGGTGTCAATGTAAAACTAAATGCTCTGCAAAATTATGCAATTACATTTTCCCCTAGATTTTGCAAAACCAGAGAGGACTTAAAAATAGTTCATTACCAGGAATCTCATTTAATGAGAGAGATACCGAGATAGATATAGAGATAGAGAGAGAGACAGAGAGGGAGAGATGTGTAGTGATAGCCGTGGCATTTATTATTAATGCATTCCCCAGCTAAATAACATTTATTTTTCCGGCTGGCCAGCCACCAGCGAAAGTGGCTCCATGAAGGGCGTGGCCCAAGTGGAATTAGTTAATAAATAAACGCGGTCAAGTTGATTTGTATGTTGCCATTAAGCAGGAATTAATTAGAAATTATTGCCAGGCGGGAGGAAAGTGCAAATTCATGTTGGAGCCAAGGTGTGGAAAGCAAGGGCAGGGATAAGGACCAAGAGCCGTAGCCGGAGCCGGGGCAGGTGGGCCAAAGTAATTGACAATTTTTGCATTTCACTCGCGACACAGACACTCGAGTCAGCATCATTGTTTGGTGGCCTAATTGAATTACGTTGGCCTAGAAGAAGCTGGGCAATAATTAAAAGCGGTCTGCCAATAATCAATGGCCCGGCACTCAGCTGGAGGCAGGTACATATTCCAGTATCCCAGTGTTGAAGCCACTATACTACTAGAAGGAGCAGCTACTTCTCCGCAACAGGCGGAGGACACAAACTGCTAGTAATAGAAATAAATTGGCGCCGCACGCAGTTCGCTGGCGACATCGCAGATATAGACACAAATAGCAGGGAGAGGTAGCGGCTTTGGCCATTCATTGTCTGGCTGTTCGACAGTCAAGTGGCACTTGAGCCAGTCTTTTGGCCAGGAAAGGAGTCGGGACAGGACAGTACAGGAGAGCGGAGCATCCCGTAGCCCTTGCGTGTGGCAGCTCATGAATTTCCAAGTGGCAGCCAGTTGCCAGGCAGCTGGTTAAAAGTAATGAAGCTCCAACAGCGTGTGTGTGTGTGTGTAGAAGTGTGAGTGTGTTGCCCGACTCCATAGCATCCTTGCCAGGCTCTTTCTGGCTTCCTTGCATGCTCCTCCGTTTTGGGCGCACGTAATTAAATCTAACTTTATTAGCACATTTCGGGGACTCGAAATGAAATGGAGGTACGAGTCGAGCAACTTTGGTGCCAAGGTACTTAGCCATCACCTCACCATCCAACAATCCAGCTTTGCATGCAAGTAGTACACAGAGAAAAAAGCCTAATAAGTAATATTAATTAATTATAATTTAAATTTGCTTATTACTTAAAAAGTATAATATAAAAAAACTCATTTTTGGTGTCTGAAAGTATGCAATACAATTTTGTTAAAAAAAAAAGAATTTAATGATTTTTAAAATATATTTACTTAAATCTTTAATAACATCATTAATTATAAATCTTTAGATACTCCAAAAACCATATTTTGTGCCTAAACGTAGGCACTGATATTACTCCTTGAATAAATTAATTAATAGTCTACTTTTAGTCATAAAAATAATAGTTTTCAGCGTTAATTTCCTTTTAGCACACATTTTAAAGAAAGATTTAATCAAATTCAAATATTTAGGTTATAAAAGACCTCAAAATTATTAAGAAAATCCAACCCATTCCTCTGTGTACCCAAGCAAGTCCTGGTAAGATTTAATTAGTTTTAGTCCTAAATAAACAAAAGTCCTAGCCATATACGAATACCCATGTCCCCATGTACATCTCGTTGTTGTTTCTTGTTGAATGCTGTTGCTATTTGATAACGTTATTGCAGTTGAGTTGTTGTTAAAGACCAACACTTTCAACACCACCACCACCAACCACCACCACCAAGCAAGCCACCTGTAGCCACAAAAAAAAATAATAACCACCACCAAACCAATCCTTTCTCACTCGTTCTTAATGTGATTTACTCGCTCATTTCTCTGTGTGTGTGTGTGTGTGTTAAAACCCTTCTAGAAAAAAAAAAAACAAAAAAAAAAGTTATTAATGGAGAATTTGCAATTAATTTTTCACTATACTCTGATCACATTTCTCGTGCTCTTCCCATATACTATATACGAATTCCATAAATCAATGCGAAACCAATTACGAAATTAATCGGCATCGAACAAAAATTCAATGTGAAATGCTTGAAACAATGCCAAGTGCAGCTGGCACGCCCAGTTTGAGGCGGGAGGCGGCCATCGATGGCGATGCAGATGGCCACGACAGCCATGTCGAAGAGGATAACGACAACGATACCAACGCTAACGATGATGATGACGAACGATGGCTGAAGCAAGCTCAGACTCCGGCTTATGCCGCTCACAATGACAGGCCGCAACAGACCAAAACAACACTTGGAATACGTCAGAACAGCAATAGCAACAGCAACGGCAATAGCCACAGCCAGAGCAAAAGCAAAAGCAACTCTGGTAATTGCAACAGCAAAACGGGAACGGGAACGGCAGCGACATCTCAGGCACACATTGCCCACAGATTAGGCCCGCGGGCCAGCTTCCCGGAGATCATGCAGCCCCGTCTCTCGCTCAACGGGCTGCTCAATCCCTCGCTGATGCCCTCGCCCCGGCCACTGTATCGGGACCATAGCTCCAGATCCATCAATCCGCTGACCGCCTACGAGCAGCAGATGGCCGAGCTGGATGGTAGCTTCTATGCCAGCAACGCGGGATATTTGGGCGCCGGCATGGGCGGCAGTGCTGGCGGTGGCACGACCTGCACGAATCTCACGGTGGGCGGTGGTTCCACAGGTATATCCGGGGCAGGTGCCACGTCTAGCGGTGGTGGTGGTGCTGCTTCAACTGGTGGCGGCGGCTTATCCTCGCATACAGGTGGCGGCCATGGTGGTGGTGGTTCCACCATACACACAACTGAACTCTCGATTACACCCACAATGGCCGGCGACGAGCAGTTTATCGATCTGGGGAGCCTAAGGCGCTTCTCGATCGATCGCCAGAGCTTTCTCGGTAAGGCCGCGTCCATCCCAGATCCTTGAAAACTGAAGCAAATACAAAAGTTCTCTATTTGAAATCGTTTTTAACGGTGTCTAAAAGTGGGCTATTATTGATTTTATATGCAGAAATTATAAAGCATACTTAGAGGCATTTAAAGAAATGATTTTTAAAATACGAGCGATTTTTGTAGCTCTTGCTTTACTTCGGCGAAACTAGGTGTAATTTCGTAGGTAAAACTATATTTTTAAACTCCTTGCTAAAAGTATAAGCCTTTAACTTTATAAAAAGTATAGTTATATCCACGAAATAGCCTAATTTTGCTTAAACAATTTAAAATATTACAGACTTTTATCAACCCAATTAAAATTCTCAAAAATCCAACTCAATTTCTTCCCTCAAATCAGACACTATTCTAGGTTTGCCCAAAATTTAATTTTACATTAATTAAAACCTTTATTAATAATTTTCCTTACCATCTACCATCCACAGATCTAGGACCAAAGTTTGGCATGACCCAGCCGAAATTCGGCCAGAGTGTCTCGCAACAAGGTTTCTTCACTTCGCACGACAGCCTGGCCACACCATGCGCCTCCAGGGCCTCCAACTCGCACATGGCCACCGTAAGCACTGCCTCCGAAATGGATCTTCTGCACAACAAGCAACGCAACAAGTCACGCGGACGTCTGAAAACGGCTGCCAGCGGCGATCAGCCGCTGCTGGGCACCTGGAATCGCTCCACGGGACGCGGTTCGCAGGATAACACGCTGGCCGGCGGCGGAGCCACCAGCCTGGCCATGGGCGGCATCGGGCACAACCAGTACGGCGGCAACTACTGCAACGGCACGGATCGGTAAGTGTTGTCACATTGCTGACACAAAAAGGATTTCCAGGATAACTTGGGATTATTCCACAGCTATCCGCGCTCCCGATCACAGCAGCAGGGTCACCACAATGCCGCCCAGCAGCCGCATCATCCTTACCAGCTGCAGCACTCGGCCTCCACGGTGTCGCATCACCCGCACGCACACGGTCCGCCCTCGCAGGGTGGACCCGGGCCACCTCATGGCGGTCATCCGCATCATCCGCATCATGGTGGCGCCGGCAGTGGTGGCGGCAGCGGAGGCGGACCACATGGCGGCCAGCCGCATCATCAGAAACCACATCGCACCGCCTCGCAGCGGATACGGGCGGCGACGGCAGCAAGGAAACTGCACTTTGTGTTCGATCCGGCGGGGCGGCTGTGCTACTACTGGTCCATGGTGGTGTCCATGGCCTTCCTGTACAACTTCTGGGTGATAATCTACCGCTTCGCCTTCCAGGAGATCAACCGGCGCACGATTGCGATCTGGTTTTGCCTGGACTACCTGTCTGACTTCCTGTATCTGATCGATATATTCTTCCACTTCCGCACCGGCTACCTGGAGGATGGGGTGCTGCAGACGGATGCCCTGAAGCTGCGCACCCACTACATGAACTCGACGATATTCTACATCGACTGCCTGTGCCTGCTGCCGCTGGACTTTCTCTATCTGTCCATCGGCTTCAACTCGATCCTGCGCAGCTTCCGGCTGGTGAAGATCTATCGCTTCTGGGCCTTCATGGACCGGACCGAGCGGCACACCAACTACCCGAACCTGTTCCGGAGTACGGCCCTCATCCACTACCTGCTTGTGATATTCCATTGGAACGGCTGTCTCTACCACATCATCCACAAGAACAATGGCTTCGGGTCACGCAACTGGGTCTATCACGACTCCGAGTCGGCCGATGTGGTCAAGCAGTATCTGCAGAGCTACTACTGGTGCACCCTCGCCCTGACCACCATCGGGGATCTGCCGAAGCCGCGCTCCAAGGGCGAGTATGTGTTTGTCATTCTGCAGCTGCTCTTTGGCCTGATGCTCTTTGCCACGGTGCTGGGACATGTGGCCAATATAGTGACGTCAGTGAGTGCAGCGCGCAAGGAGTTTCAAGGTGAGTGGCCCAGAAATGTAATGTAAATTGGGGTCAGGAATATCATTAATAATGTTATATAACAAAGAAGCTTCCCCCCAATACAGAAAGTATTTCAACCCTCGGCTGCAGTTAGCACTTATCTCAAATTAATCACAACTATTGTTTAATATTTGCAAGGACAACAACAATATAGAAAATCCTTTTGCAGGGAAAAATGAACAAAAAAAAAACATTCAGGTCATGGAATATACTATATATATCCCACAGTACTTAGCCTGATTAATTAATGTTTTTGTTGGATGTAAACAAAGAAAATATGACAAATTTCATTGAAAATGCAGAGAATAAGCTTCTGATAGATGACACTGAAACATTGCTTTTTTGCTTGTACAATTTATGGCCAGGGATATTGGAAGCAGGGGGGAGTAGTATGAAAATGATTTGGGAAAATATATACGTTTAATATTAAAAGATGCCACAAGATGTATCCTTGGCATTCTTTGACTTTCCCCTTCCGCAGCTCAAAAAACCCTTATAAACGCAGATGAAAAAGTGAACTTCAACAATGGCCCAGCTGAAGGTATTTCTATGTAAATTGTCATCAGAATTCCGAGTCTTACCAGGACCCTGACCAGCAGCGTTAACTTGTTGCGTATCCCGGTTGTCCTGGTAACGTGGAGGACCTCGAAGCATATGAAATGCGGGATTAGGGGAAAAAAAAAGGAAAACGTTACCCCAACAATGGGCCGAAATACATTCTCGTCCTCGTCCTTATTCCAACTAAGCTGCCTTGTTTGGGAATAAGTCCAAGATTGTGCGGTTGAATGCCGTTACTGCCCAGCTGGGCAAAAATTATATGCAAAATATTGAAATCTGGTGCTGCCATGGCAATAATGATGATGTCCCACTGCCATTGCCAGTGTGCCAGTGCCACTAATGTCCATTGTGGCACACAAGGAGCGCTCGAAGTACCCGAAGGACTCGTGGCGCAATCTCTCTCTCGTAGGCTCAGTTGGGCGTGCGGCCATTAGCTAAATGAACTCGTTTACTCGGCCGAGCCATAAATAACTGGACGAAATGCAAGAGCAATCCAAGTCAGCTAAGTGGAAAATGCCAAGTGAAAGGCAAAGAAGGCCTAGGAACGCATGCACTGGAAGAAACTTGGGTTCTCTCATAGAAAAATATATTTTTATAGTGGAAAATAATAAAATTTAAGCTTAATCTTAAAGAGAAATTAGGGAAAAGTCTGAATCTATTTACTAAATAGGAACTATAATCTTTTGGGTATTCCTTTTTTGTTTGTTTCTTTGAGTGTCAGGCAGGAAGAGGAAGACGCATTAGGGGAAGCGGAAACGAGAATAAGAAGCAGCAGCGGCAGCATCATTTCTAGCTTTCATTAAGGGCAGCGTCAGCTAAAAAAAATTTGTATATATATATTAAAGCCACTCACGGCGACAACGAGTCAAGGTGGTTCGCCTTCAGATGGATCCCTGCCTGGCCTTGCCTTCCGCTGGGGAGCAAACAAAGCACAATTGTACGCCAATGGGCGAGTCCAATGGGGGCGTGGCACCTTCGGCTTTTTCCTTCTGGCCAGGAGGAGGCTCCTTAGGTCTGTAGTCCAGCCCTTGGTCCCCCCCTGATGCTGCCAGTGCTTCTTCTAAAGCCCCGCCTGCAGCTGCCTGCTGGTCAACTCTCAGCTGACTTGTTTACACAACACTTTGCATGTGTGTTTGGCTATGGCCATTGCACATGTGTCCATTGCCATGTCCATGTCCTGGTATGAAGAAGCAGAAACGCCAGCGCCATTGCCATCGCCAACGGAGCAAGAAGGGCGGCGTTGCGATGGCAAAGTCAGCAAGCAAAGCTCTGGCGGCTTAATGGATGAAACGTGCTGTTGAATTAATTTCTGGCTTTATGCTCTCCATTTTTTCTTTCCGTTTTCAATTCCAGGCTGCCTTTGCTTGCTTTTTTTTAGTTCTGCAGACAGAGAAATCTTTTAAAAATAGTGAAAAGTAGTTAAGATTTAATAACCAAGATAATTCATCTCAAAATCAAAACAATTCATCAAATCGAGCAATAAATTCAAGCATAAAGCTCCGAGTAAATACAACAAATTCCTATAAATCAAAAATTAAGTTAGTAATAGTCTTTATCATAGTCAAATTCTTTTAATTATGTCCATCGTCTATCAACTAGTGACAGTTTTTATGTCTTGCCAAAATATGTTATAAACACACATGTTTCAAGTTGAGGATACATTTTTTCACAGTGTCCGCTTGTTGTGAAAATAATAACTAAATGTTTTCGCTGTGTGCAGTTGTGGTTGCTTGTTGTAAGCATTTATTTTTTCCTGCAGGCAAATTTTCAATTTTTACTGCCAGCCTAGCTTATAGGGGGCTACGCATGAAGTTCAAAAAGTCACGCAGACTTATGCGGCCATCGTGGTCCATATCGACCTCACTGCATATATCCCTGAGATCCGCATCGTTCACAACCACGCCCATCATAACCATTAAGGCACGCACATCCATATTGGTCACATAGCCATCACCGTCGCGATCGAAGAGCTGAAAGGTCTTGGTCAGTTTCTCGTCACTGTCCACTGTGGCCAGTCGGGGCGCCATCATTTGCATGAACTCTGGCAAATTTATATTCGCATTCCTTTCGAGACCCACCGTACTAATGAGATCGTATAGTTCTGATTCCGTGTTCTCGTGACCCACGGAAATTAAAACTAGACGCATCTCATGCGGTGAGATGGTGCCATTGCCATCCAGATCGTGCATCTTGAAGGCCTCCTCCAGATCTTCGATCTGGGTCTTGTCCAGGTTAAATGACATCGCAAAAAAGCGGAAGCGCGAGGGTAATGCAAACCCAATAAAAACACCATAAGTAATTCAGGAAAATTGAACACAAAAACACAAATTGGAGTATGTGTGTGTGTGTGGTGTGTCTGTGCTATATATGAGAAAACACTGACTGACAATCAACTCAACTCAACCGAACTCAAACTCTGTTCTCGATGGCTAATAAAACACTTAGCCAGGCGATTTTTGTTGTTGTTGTTGTTGTTGCGACCGCAAACTTTTCCGGAATAATAATGCATCATATATACAAAGGGGAGGATGAAAAAATAATAAACGGAAAGAAAAGAGAGAATAAGAAGAGAAGCCGCTGCCGAAGCATGCAGCATTTTGGAGAACCATCCATCAATTTGTCAATTCAGCGCTTGCCTTTGAGTGGCCGGCGATGGGACAGGAATGATGATGATGATGATGATGATGGGCAGAGAGTAGTAGTGCTGACCATAAAAAATCAACCATCAGGCTTTTGGCTAGAAGCAAGAAATACAAATAGCAAATTGAATAGATGCACTCGCACACATTCGCTGAAAGGAGTGTCTACTTGAGATCCATTCAAATCCTAGCCTATTCTCAGGGATTCATTGAAGGGGAACAGTTAGTCATCTGTGAATTTCAATCACATAGATGGATAGGGAAAATCAGACTTGTGGAGATACTTATTATATTTTAGTGGTTCATACTTTTTAGAAAGTCTTTAAGACTGGCTATTGTATTCCCCAGCAGGATAAGTGTTTAAGTTAAAGACTATTTTCTATAATGTTTAAATCTTATATTCAGCTCCTTCTTCTTGTATAATCTTTAATATGACTTAAAAATAACATTACACACCCTACATCCAACCATTAGAAACTATAATTTCCTTAATTAAAACGCCTCTTCTCCCCAATGATGGCGCTCTTTATTTGAAACCTTAAGCCTCGGCCCCTAGAGGAGGAAGCCACTGACTTGTCACGGATTTCTAGGCTTAGCAATAACTTTTTCCGGCAGCCCATTTGATTCATTCAACTTTGAGGCCTACTCTTGTTGCTTTCGCTCGTTCATTCATTCATTCATTCCCCGAAGACTTTGAGCCGGGATGATAAGCAAATGAAATGTTGTCGCCGTCCCACATGACGAATGATTAATGATTCGCATTCCTCCTGGGAGGGAAAAGTAGGCGAGCCATGAGAGCCGCTCGCTCGTTCGTCTAAAGTTAAAACTTAACTTTAACTAATGCAACAGCACTTTTTCACCCCAACGATGTCGCTGCGAATAGCGCCAGTCACGGCTTACCCGGGGATACAGTTTGCAAAGTGACTGAGTCTTGGTCTTCTTCTCCTTCTTCTGCCACATTAGCCTACATCCTCCGCCGCTGTTCTGCTCTGGATCCTACATCCTACTCAGGACTCAGTATTCAGAATTCCGGATTCCCGCTCCTGCGGGGCTGCAACAACTTGTGCTTGTGTATTTGCTTAAGCCGAGGTCGCTTTCCTGTTTCCTTCCGCCGCTTTTCCACTTTCCCGCTGCTAAGGAGGCGGAGGTGGGGTTTGGGGGGGGCATGAAAATTGATTTTGAAATAGTTGGTCTGCCTTTTTAAATTTGATTGACGTTATTACATTACATAACATCGCACACTAAGAGGAGCGGCGAAGCAGCTGGCTTAAGTTATTCATCCATTTAGCCCCACTTAGGGCCATGGACGGGGGTGCGGGCCAGGCTGGCTGGGAAAGCAGGAAAAGCAGATTAGGCGGGAGGCAACAACAAGTGGAAAACTGTCATTATATTTGAGTTATTGATGGTTCTTTTTTTTTCAAAATCATTTTGCAACAATGTTGCCGCTACCTCTCACACACACACACATTCCGCCACACGCTGACAGGCTTCTCGATTTTCCATTCCCCTTAGCCCTTACCCTTCCCTTTTACATCACATCTCACACACACACACACACTGTTACATTCACGCTTAGTTAAACGCATGGCTGTGGCTTGTTAACGCCGACAAGCGCAAAAGTTTGCCATTCGCCAAATGCTTGCGATAATCGACAAGCTCACTCACACTTTCACACGCAAGGGCACTGAGAGAAATTCTTGGAAATGGGTCTTGGAAATCAAGTGTTATATGTTAAGATGCCTCAGAAATGGCTGTGTACTTGGAATTAAAATAGTTCTGAAAAGTATGCTATAAAAGATATTACGTATACGTAATATAAGGTAGATACCTTGTATTTTTCATTATATCAGTTTTCAGCAACTTTTAACGAGATTTCAACTGACACAGTTTAAATAAAAATCCAGCTTGAGCTTTAAATAATTTACTTCAATATTCGGGAACATTTTTTTGAGCTTTAAATAATTTACTTCAATATTCGGGAACATTTTTTTAAGGAGTTTTGAAACTCTAAATTAAACCTGAACTAATTTCATAATTATTGGCTTATGGATTTTAAATTTCAAGGAAGTGCATCCACTTCTCCCTTAACTTCTCTACAATTAAAATAAGAAATATATTATTTTTAATTTTAAATTTTAATTACAAATTTCGTTCAGTGTTGCATCACACACACTAGTAAAAAAAACCAAACCTGCACACACTTTTATTCAGGACACTCACAGTATGGAGGCTGTGTATTGAATTTCCCCCGCCGTTTTGGCTAAAGTCCAAACAGCATTTCAAAAACTGACATTTAAAATTATGTAAATTCCCAGCGTCCCGGCCCCCCGGCCATCGTAACCCAGGCCCCGCCTTGCCATTATGTAATTGTTATTGTAAATAGTTTTATGCAAATTTTCCCGCTGTCAGCAAAAGTGTCAACGGACCTTGATTGATGCATGTGTACAGTTTGCATATGAATCATCACCCGTGTCCATGTGTGTGTGTGTACTATGTAGTTTTTCAATTTTATTTCTCGGTTTATTTAGTTTTTAAATATTTATTGCATTGTGCTTGGTGTGAGCCAAGCGCGTTTCTCTGGTCGACGGTGAAATGCTCTTAGTCTTCATTTACAATTAACGTCCGTTTGGCGTGGCCTGGCCTGCTGACTGAACCTGGCCTTTGGCCTTGCAATTAAAACAATTTACGCGCTCAATTTAAGCCAGCGCAAGCAAACACAAATACAAATACCAACAGGACGAGCAGGAAGCACGGAACACCGCCATGGATCCAAAGGAGAGCTGCAGCTCAGCTTGGCTGAGGAGAAGATTTGTAGTGCCTTAGCCAAGCGTTTTCATTTTCGTTTTCGCTTTCGACTTGCTAAATGCATAATGGCCAAAGTGTTGCTGTTCGCCCTTGCTTTTGGCTCTTTGTTTTTGTTTTTGCCTGGCCACCACAATCCTTGCACTAAAAATAGCAACGAGGCAAAGTGACGAAAGGCAAACGAACTGAGTCAAGAACGCGCGTCGAGCATTCGACATTGGCCCAGGACCATGGAGCCGGTGATATACTATCCACACACTGAGGGAAAATAAATTTAATTGTTTATTTTCTGTTGGAATTCATATACACTTTGAGAATATATTCTTGAATTTTTGATACCTTTTAGAAATAAAAATTCTTTTTCTTGAAGAGCTTTTCTTAAGAAAGAATATTAAATTTATTGCCCTTATAATTCTCAAGTTCTTTTTGCGGAATGAGCATTATATATTTCCTTGAATTTTTGAGCATTGAATTCTTAACCTGTTTTAATACAACATAAATAAAGTCCTTATTTTGGCCAGTGCTAATCACATAAAAAATTGCTTGAAGCTACAAGAAGTATCCTTCTCAAAAACGGGACATCCCACGAATTCCAGTGGCCAGGGGCTGTCAAAGGACTTTCGCAGACCTTTCCAGGGTATCGCTTTCTTCGATTTACCCAGCTTCTCGCCTTCTCTCTCACTCTCTCTCTCCCTCTGTGTCCCTTGGACCGTACCTCTTTTCCTTACTCTTTTTTTCGTCCTTTTGGATAAAGAAGGAAAAGAAAAGGGGGATGCAGCGGCGTCCATTATCCACTTTAAGTTGCCCGCCCTTGCTGCGTGTGTGTGCCTGGGGAGAGGGGGGGTCACATATATGTGTGTCTGTGTGTGTGCGTTTTCAGCTTGGTTTGTGTTTGTTGTTCGTTTCGCTGTTTGCTTTTGCTTGCCACAGCCATGTCCTGTGTTTGTGTGAGTTTATGTTTGCTTCTGGTTATGCCCCACAGCTGTAACCGTGTGTGAATGTGTGAGTGTGTGGGGATATATATACATATATATGCGGATTCCAATCAATATCGTAGACGCAGTCGCCGCTGGTGGCCGCTTTTGCCCATTAAGCTGCATGTACACCAACTTACTGTCGTATTTTTAGAACATGCTCACTGTTGTTCTTGCGCCCCTTGCCACTTTTTTTTCTGCAGCTTTAGCTGCTTTCGTTGTTGTTGTTGTTGTTGTTGTTGTTGCTGTTGTCGTTGTTACGGCATGTAGCTGCTCTTTAAGGGCAAAGTATTCCATTATCCTTGAATGGGGAATTTCCCAAGGATTTCAACAGCATCAGCGGCAGCCAGTCAAGTCCTTCTCCTGCTGCAGCTGCCATGCGCATTGTTATTGCAAACTGCGAGAGGTGCTCGCCGCATTTATTTTTAGTTACCGCCTGAATAAATCCATCCCCAGCATTTCTCATTCGACCATCATCCGCCTCCTGGCATACCTCCTTGCAGCCTCCTGTATCCTGCCACTTGGCGGCCATTGTTTATTCGTGCTTCACCCCTCACAGAAAACATTCAGATTCAGATTCGCATTCGGTTTGGGATCCGGAATCATCAGCAGCTGTAGAAGCACCAGCGGTAAATGCATAATTAAGGTGCAAAAATCCAGGGCAAAATGCCTTTTTCGCTTCAAATTGATGTTGAATGTACACTATGAGCAGGGGAAAGCTAGAATCCTCTGACTGTTTTTGGTTTGAAACATTTTACTGAGGCAGGTATTTAACATAATTTTCTAGGGAATTTTAATCGCATTAAATTAACCTAAACATAAATCTAAGAGAGTTTTCTATGAATTAATTCTGTAGTTTAACTTTTATGAAATAAACAACATTTAAGTCCTAACATAAATATATAATAATATAATATAGTGTAATTAAACTCATCCAGAATCCTTGATACATCACTCCAAAAGAAACTCCTAAAAACTATGATTTCCCAAACAAAATAAATCCTGATAAAGTTCATATTAATGTTCAATAAACTCTTTTAAATCCCTGATATTCTTTCCCCTACATTTTAGGAAAAAACCCAAATGGAATGGCAGGTGGAAAAGCTCCGCAGACCATTAGGACTCGTTCGGTTTGAACTGTGGCAAGCATTCCTTGCACTCGGGGTGATAATCGCACACAATTCCTTTCGATTCCTGTGCACATTCAGCAAATGCCACCAGCCAGCCAGCAGAGAGCTTTGCAACTCCCATTTGGGGGCCATTGTTCTGGGACCCTGACTCCTCCTGTCCTGTCTCCTGTCTCCTGTCTCCTGTCCCCACGGAGCACAACTTCCGTCTTTGGCATAACACATCAGCTTGACTCTTAAGTGGTTTCTAGTTAGTTTGCAATTTTCACTTGCCCCACACACAGTACACCCGACCGCCCTGCTTTTTTCATATTTCTGGCAGGAATTGTGTGTGTGACGTTTTTATGAAAAGACTCTGGGTGTGGAGGAGTCGCGCAGGAAGAGCAAGTTTTTGTCACGCATATTTACTGTTTGTGTGTGATCCCCTCCTTAGCCGGGGTGAAACTTGGTAGTGCTGCAGTTTGTTGGCAGACAATAGCCTGAACTTTTGCACCCAGATTTCTTTCAAATGCAGACACATACACACACACATGCTCGACTCCCGTCTGCGGTTGATCCTTTGGCGGCAATTGTCCTCGGCTGTCAGTGTGTTGAGACAAAAGTCAAGTCAGAAAATGGTAAATGTAATTATTGGGAAGCGGCAGCGCTTAGTTTGAGGTGACACACAGGCAGACACACCGAAGAAGAAGGGCCCCAAGGACCTACTTTTCGACCTGAAAAACCGCCACGAAAATTGCAACAGAAGCAGATCAAAGTTCGCCCGGGGACAACTGTAGGCGAAGCAGAGCATAAAATGAAAAATAAATAAGAAATAAGCAGAATACGAAGCCAAATGCACTTTTTTCCCTCCTCATCATCATCATCATCATCATCGTCGTCGTCGTCTCCTTTTTGGCCAAGCGCAGCCAAGTGACTCGGGGGCAAAAAATGGCAAATTAAATTTTGCTCACAAAATGCAACCAAATGGAAGAAGGAGAAAGCAAGGAAACAGGATAAGCTCCTCCGTTCAGCCGCAGAGCAAGCAAAGGAATTAAAGCTCGAGTAATTTCTAAAAACACCAAAAACCAAGTTGAGACACACAGGCAGTCAGTGGAAGCCGGAGGAGTCTATCGAAGGCAACCGCAATTACTGAGTCCAACACAGCCGCACACGAAATGCGAATACGAACACAGAATGCCGCAGACTCACTTTCCTATTTGTTTATTTTTACCATGGCTGCTGCCATGGAATATGCAATTAATATTTAGATTGATTTTCAATTGTAACAAAAAACCCGCAAAGGACGTGCCCAGCAAAAATGGTTTGGAAAATTCAATGGACGTACGGGAGGGAGGGACCCAGCTAGCAAGCGAGTGTCGAATGCATTCAAGCATTCAAGCCGCAATAAAAATCGCTGTAATTTTGCATGGCTCACTCGTAGTATCATTGAAATGTTGGATAGAAACTAGAGCAGGAGGTGGCTCTGTCCTGTGTGTGTGTATGCTGCGCCATTTCTATCGTTATCCATATCCGATATGTGTAATGGCTGCCAAGAGGCAGACACTGCCATTCAATAATCTTTCAATTTACCGAGGACTCTGGGGATGGAAAAAAAGGCAAATGAAATAGCAGGGAATAGAGAGGCCATAGAACTTCATTACATAAGGAGAATATAAAGCTTAATTCCTGATTGTTTTCAATATAAATTACTAGCTAATATAAAATCTCTAAATCATCAGTAAGAAATTATGTTTTACTACAAAAATATTAAAGATTTACTTAATATTTAAATGGTTCCATTATTTCCCTGCCTCTTAGTCTTTTAGCTGCTATCCTATTAGACAAGCGAATTGAAATTTGAGTTGGACAACAAAGGACATTTGACAATTGAGAGATGACAAATGACCAACTGGGAAAAACTAGAGTTTGGAGGGAGCTGAGAGGAGCCTTCGAGAGGTTGGGGAGCTCCAGAGAGCTATGAGGAGATCGGGGTAGCTGGCGATTGATTGCATTATAGATGTTGTCCCTTCTGGCCACGCCCTACTCTCCCTCTGGACTTTTAGTCCCGGTAACTGGGTATTTATTTGTATTCAATCTGTTTGCCTGTTTGTCAGTTGGTTTTCAAATGTTTGCACGAGCAAACACAAAAGACGCAGCAGCACTCAGTTCGATTCAGCCGAGTTGCGTTGAGTTCTACCTGTTTCAGCAGCAGCAGCCATCACTCCACATTTTCATTCTTTCCCCGCCGGCAACCGCCGACGACAAATTGTGTCAATATTTGTTACCACTGACGAGCCAAGAGATTTAATTTCCTCTTATCGAACTGGGATGACTCGCATCCAGCTGGGTGGAGTGGCGGTGGGTGCAGTGAATGTGGGTGTGGATGCGTACCCTAACATGGAAACAAAGGCCAGTTGTCATCAATATTGCTCAAACAGAATCGAGTATCCTGTCCTGTTCTGTCTTAGTCCTGTCCATCCCCGGTCACACGGAATACTTCACTTTCCACAGATATGGCCAATTGAGCGAGCAAGCGGCAAGCATCGCTCATTGTTAAGCTGCAGCAAATGCAACGTGCGCTGGTCTGGACCGGAGTGGACTCCACTAAGCCACCGATAGATGTGGTCAGGTTCCTTTCGGCGATGCTGGCTTTGTGCCTGCTCATCCGGCACAAGAGGGATAGTTAATTGCTGGCTAAACAGAAGCTCTGCTCGGGGTGGGTTTCAGTAATCAATATCAAGCATACGCCAGGTGCGCCGGCCAGAGCTTAAGTCCAGCAGCATGCTGTCGGACAGCTAAAAGCCCTATATTACAAATTTATGCAGACCATCTTGATTGACCGATTAGGGGGCAAAGCCTAAGTACGGTGGGAACAATATAATATAAAAACAAAGGGGAAATTGTGCAAGGTATTTTGTTGTAAATTATTAAATATTAAATAAAGTTAAGTTTGTAAACTTGTGATACATAAAACGTTTATCGGAAGCCAGAAATATATACACAATCGTTATATACAATAATCGTTAGTTAAATTATATACTTATGGGCCACAAATTAGATCAAATGTTCTATTAACTCGAATTTAAGTTATTTTTCTATCAAACATTTCTTAGAAAAATAATCAAAGGAAAATCAAGGCCTCCCTTTCCCTTAAACCTATAATTTATGAAAGTTTATCTCAAAGATCGAAACAACACAAATTTGCTAGCAATTATTTAACCTGTACACCCCATTGTACAAAAACCCCTAATTTCCACGCACTTTGTATGCCAGTCGCGTATCCATTTCCAGGAAAATCCTCAGCAAATACAAATAAAACATTTTCCTTTCTCTCTCCCCCTCTTTTCTCATCTCTTTCCTGTGGTTCTATGTTTTTTTTTTCGAATTTTTTTTTGGAACTTTAGCCAAGCTGGATGGCGTGAAGACGTACATGCGGATGCGACGTGTGCCGAATCATCTGCAGGTGAAGGTCATCAAATGGTTCGATTACCTGTGGCTCACGCAAAAATGCTCGGACGAGGAGCGCGCCGTGTCCTGTCTTCCTGATAAATTAAAGGTAAGTACGCTGCCGGAACACGATTTGTCCATTACCTTAGAAGGAGAAATCTATACCAATTCCTATGCCGATGACGATGACGATGACGATGATACTGATTCCGTTTTTCCCTTCGGCAGGCTGAAATAGCAATTAACGTCCATTTAGATACACTTAAGCGGGTGGAGATTTTCCAAAACACCGAGGCCGGCTTCCTATGCGAACTGGTCCTACGCCTGAGGCCGGTGCTCTTCTCGCCCGGCGACTACATCTGCCGAAAGGGTGAGTATCCCAGCTCCTTAATAGCATTTTTCCATTTGAATTCACCACGCTTTCCCCCGGCAGGTGAGGTGGGCAAGGAGATGTACATTGTGAATCGAGGACGATTGCAGGTGGTGGCCGACAATGGAAAGACGGTGATGGCCTCGCTGAAGGCCGGTTCCTATTTTGGCGAGATTAGTATACTCAATATGGGCACCGCAGGTAAAGAACTTGGTAAATATCCCGTTTTAGTGCGACAGGCGGAACAATAACGATAACGTAACTACTACAACAACCTTCCCCCAGAAAATCAAATAAACCAAACCCCACGAAAATGAAAATCTATTAATCAACAGACGACACACTCTACTATTAGTATATTCACACAAAAATCTAGAAAGCATACAACGTATCTCTCTATCTGTGTCCTCTATCTGTGGAATGTGTAATTGTCTATTAATAAGTGTTAACCGGAGAGTCCGAAAAGTGCCCGCCCGCCCCTCCGAAGCTATAGTTTAGAGATCCTTCAGCACATGTAAACCCGCCAGCACCCAGCACTCGAATCAATATTTATAGAATTTACATTTTAATTTATAAATAACTGTCATATGGAAAATACAATTTTCGTTTTTTCTTTGTGTCCCTTTAAATTGTTCATATATACACACACAATACTATATAGATTTTTTATGCCGCCCTAAGAGTGTGCAACGAATTTTTTACTGCACTTCCCCGGCCCTCTCACGCGGTTGAAAAATTAATGAATGTCAAATGCAATTATAGCACCTGCATGCACTCGCACGGGTCTCTCGGACTCCGCACCCTCTTGATTTTATTGTTCTCGACATTTTTATTGTAGGGATACTACTATAAAAATGCGCGAAATAATTGTGGTTGGCATAAAAAACGATCCGAAAAAAAAGTAGTAAACGTCGCTTTAATTTCATTTAATAGTTGCCAGGGCCAGCCAACCGTGAAGTTGATTCGGGATTGGGACTGAAAATTCGATCCTGCCGCGGTCATAATTAATCAAGGGAATGTGTGTGTTTGTGTTTGTGTTCCAACTGCATGTGAGATACATATATGTGTATCTGTGAGTTGCATACTCCAAGGCGTCAACACAAACACCGTGAATCGGGAACCATGAACCGCGAGAGGCAGCTAATTGAGTTTGCCGAATGGCAGGAGTTGTTGCCAACTCAATTTGCAGACAAAAGTTAAGGTGGCTCGAAAGTTTTACGCCTCGAAGGCTAGGAGGCCCTAAGTAACCTCCACAAACACACACACAGCGAAATCGAATTGTTTAAAATGCCTTTGTGTTTCTGCATGATTTAAAAGCATTATTCCTGGTCCTGGTGCCATTCGTGTTCGATCAACGGTGAGAATTGCCTAGGGGAATTTTCGCACTGAAATGCAATTTCTTACGCTAGTTAGTCGCTCCACCTCTCCCTCAATCTATCTACATCTGCCTCTATCTCTATATTTTAATCTGTCTCTCTCTATCTATCTATCTATATATATAAATATATTTGTCTCTGAGTCGATGTTGTTGTTGTATTGCTTTGCCTGGACGTAATTTAAACGTTTCTCTACACGTAATTGTATTGAGAGTTGTGTAATTAACATTAAGTATACGACCCATTGACACAAGCCACAGAGACACACATACACCTGCAAGCGATTCTTCATGTTTAAAGAGAGAGCTGATTTAATTGCATGACATGCACGGAGAGATTTAATAGAATTATGTAAGAACTGGGTTTTAAAGAGACTGGAAAATATTACAGAATAATAATCGAGAAAATAATAAATACTTTTTGGGGTATAAAGCTTCATTTCATAGAAGATTTCATTATGGAAAAATTATAAATAAAATTACCAAGGACTAGGCAGGAATAAAATTATTAGAAAAATTAGCACAAAGTCAATACCATAAAATAAATTTAAAAGATTCCAGGAAAATGTATGAAAATACTACCCCAAATATTATGAATTTTCAGGAAAATGTATGAAAATAACTCTATAAAATCCTGCTACCCTAAATATTTGCTTTTTCCATTAAAAAAAAAATGTTTCGAGAATTATTTCCATGTAAAACGTAAATTTTAATCAAAACATGTCTGCCGTTGAACCCATTTAATATTTACTCGCCGAGAGATAAAATACAGCTTTTGGTCCTGTCTATTTTCTGCCTCGACCTTTCTATCCATATTGTGTGGCATGCAATTTTAATGTCTTTGTGCGGCCAAGTCAACAAGAAGAATCGACAGACACACACTGAGACACACATACACAAACACACACACACACACAGCGACTCGAAGAACACAGCGACTCAAGCCGGGAAATGCTTTTTTGCAAGACCATTAAACTTTTCTCTTTGCGTTGGCAAACATTTGCTTTGGCAACTTTCACGATGCGAAACAAAAACAGGCAACCGACGCACAGCCAGCGTTCGCTCGGTGGGATATAGCGACCTCTTCGTCCTGAGCAAGAAGGACATGTGGGACGTGCTGAAGGAGTATCCGGCGGCGCGTGTTCGTCTGGAGTCGATAGCCGTCAAGCGATTGGAGAAGTACAAGAAGGCACCGCTAGAGAAAGGTAAAGGCACTTGTCTTATTTGCTTCCCTGCCCGGTGTCCTGTTCCCCTTGCCACCTTCCCACACTCACAATAATATCCCATTCCAATAACGAATCCCTGTGCTCTGTCCCCGCCCATCCCACAAAAACAAACACCACTCGAAATTCAAAGATACGAATACGAATACGATTGCCCCAGAATAACACGATTCGATTGTTTTCGCCTTCCGTTCCGTCTTTCCGTCTCTCCTTCTCTCTGCCTTTTTGTCGTTTATCGATTTCATTTGCGTCCGTTTCCGGTTGTGAACGATTTTGATTTAAAAACACAGTCAAATACTTTAATGTAGTTGCCATGGGTCGCTGCCAATCGACGCCGGGCCTAGTCGAGAGCTGTGGCCGCACATCGCTTGAGGAGATGTGGTTGCCACCGGCAACGATGCACCACCATCAGCAGTTACAGCAGCATCAACAGCAGCTCCAACAGCAGCAACTCCAGCAGCAGCATCAGGTGGCCCAGCAGCAGCATGTGCCACATCGGCAAGAGTCCACGCAACAATCCTCTCAGTCGCATGGTTACAGGTGAGCTTTTCCTTCAGCCACGTTTGAATTGTGGTTTCACAACAATAGCACTTCAGAGGGAATGTTTTAAATCGGTTGGGTTTCAGGGGTGATTTTATGGGTCGAACTCGATATAGTTAAAGTGTTTGTTCCTTCATTAAAGTGCTTTCTTTTTCCCTTAATAATTCCTAACTAATATAACATCCTTAAAGTCCCCGCAGCTATGCTGACCGCCTGGCCAGGGCCACAGACTCCCCGAGATCGGTTAGCCCCAGTGCCCACGGGTCCGAGGAGCGACCCCGAAGTCGAGCCACCTCGCACCACTCAATAAGACCCCAATCGCAGCCGAGTCACACGGGTAAGTACAGCATAAATACTTAGATTAAATCTGGCGGCAGACTACAGCATAAGCTATGAATTTCTACCTTCCGCCCTTTCCCTGTTCAGGTCACATCTGCGACTCCAGTTCACAGCTGGAGTGCTATGGAGCGGGCGTAGGTGGAGCCGGTGGTGGTACCACTCCCCTTTTGGGCTCTCACGAAGCTCTCGAGGATGAGATTAAGCGGCTGAGGGAACGCCTGCATACAGTGGAATCAGAGAATCAGGCTCTGAATACGAAACTGTCGCAGCAGCAGTGGGATCTGGAGAATCGACTGGCCGAAATAGAGATGCAGATCTGCGGTGTGTCGTCCACATCGAGCGTGGATCCCGAGAACGAGAACGAGGAGCTGGAACGGAACAGAGAGAGTATCATATAACACGGGAGCGTGCTGCCCCATCAGGCGATCGGTATGGTGTACATATCATGTTCCTCATGACTCCACGATCATCATCGATCATCTGACAACTGACAACTGCATCCGATGAAAGGCTGGCGAGGATTGTCATCATCAGCGGGCGCCATCATTAAACCGCATCATATCGCATCTAAACTCTCGCCCCCTCAATATCTCCACCTCTCTATCTGTCTGTTGTGTTTCTCTCCCTCTCTCTCTATGTTATGTATGTGTGTGTTATATTCTCTCTATGTGTGCGTGTGTGTGTTGTGCATGCATCCTAACGAATGCCTTACTAACGAATAAAAACCATGACCATGACCAGGAGCAGCAGCAGCTATACAGCGGCAGGAGGATCTGGTTGATGACCGAGAGATGCCGATGCCAATGCAGGATCAGAGGCGACCACTTGAATCTGAGACGGGGACTCAGACCTGTGCCAAGTACTGCTCGCTTTAGGGCACAGGAACGAGGAGAGAGATAGAGAGGGGAGGATGCAGAGAGGTGATGGCCAGATATCTACCCCCAAGATGTGCAATTAATATCTCTTATGATCAAGCGACACCAAAAGAAAATATCCAAAGAAAAAAGGTGGCACTGCCAATGGAAAATTTGTTAAAAACGCGCCAAGCCCAAGTGTAAATAGATATAGAGAAAGGGAAACCCACTCAGATCAAAAGCAAATAGTAATTGTAATGGGATGAGTTGGGCGGCGCCAGAGATCGGAAGAGCTTTAACAGACATTCCGAGAGAGAACAAAAAAAAACCCCTAACACAACTTGTAACCCTAAAAACACTAACACTTTTTCCATACTAAAAAATCAGAAATAGATTCGAGATTTATATAGGAAACATCATTAGGCCTAGACGCTCTTAACCTCCTTTTTAAAAATGGTTACTCAACCAAAACACGAAACGGGTACTCGAGATCCCATTGTAAATACTTTCGCTCTAGGAACACTCCAATTAGCATAACCCAAGTCTAGAGATCATCCGAAGAAATAACTAAAAACTTACTTTAACTCATGAGTGTAACAAATGAATACATATATATATATATATATATATCTATTGTAATATTTGCTAATTGTAATTCGAAAACATAAAAAAATTTACTAGATGTGTATATGGGAAACGATTTACTTTAAAACTGAAAATAATGCATAAACAATTTATGGACAACTAAGTGAATATTTGCAAAATATTTGTACTATTGGAAAAGAACTGCCAGAGCATACACCACACACTCCAAAAACAAAACAAAAACTATATTGATAATTATGAAGATGAAAGGAAACTCGAAGGATAAAGCTATAAATATTAAACTATTAATAAAAACACAATTTAAATGAGTAGATCAGTCAAAAGGAAACCACTTTTAATGCAATATTATATTGTACTACTGTCGTATATGGTCGTATATCTAAATTATATATATATATATATATGCCTATATATATATATGATATGGTAAAAGTTTAAAGGTCTAAATGTATTTAACTTTAGTTAGTTGCCCAAAAAGGAAATATAAAACAAAACCAATGCTGAAGATTGTAGTTGAGAAAAAAAAAAAACACAGATTAATTAAGGCCAGAGAGGGTTCTGTAGCAGAACACAGAACGCAGTTCAAGAATCCCCATAATATGGGGCAGCTGCGATGAGAAGAATGAATTAGTTTAGCCTGTAACTCTAGTTATACCTAGTTATACCATTAGATGTGTACCAGAGAAGACCAAAAACCAAAAAAACCAGAGATCGAATCGCGATCGTTTATGAAAATTGTTCAGTGTCAACTCCAAGGAAAAACAAAAGAAAAACATTTAAAAAGCCAGAAGCTGGGTTGATAAGGAAATCTAATAATTATATAGCTAAATCGAATAAGATTCTTAACTTTACAGAATGCGAAAAGCACGGATACGTTTGAGTATCTGCCGTAGGAAACGGAAACTTGAAACTGGAACGAAACTCATTTCATGCCAACAAAAAAGAATATAAAGGCCAAAAACTTGAACTCAAATTTTGTTAGGATTCTCTTTAGATTATTCGCCAACGAGATATATACTTAATTTTTGATTTTCTAGTGAGCAAAAAATAGAAGGAAATGTCTCTTCTTTTTACATATTTTTCAACCTAATTACTTTTCGGAATATCATATAACGGATTAATTAAAAAATTTATTAATAATTACAATAAACATCAAAATGGGGTTTCATCTAAGACAAAGGCTTATACCAGGGGCAAGAGGATAGCGTTTAATGAAAGCTAACGCCGCAACTTGTCAGGATTTATAGCGGAGTTTTTCGGTTCTTTAGTTAGCCAAAGGTTAAAGTTGAATATAAATAACTAAATTAAATTAAATTAAATTTATATGGCTTATTAGCACGCTTACCGGCCACAGCAGGACTCTCTGTCGTTTGTTAGATTCATTATTCCCCCCTGATTTCTCCAAGTGTTTTCCGTTAGAGCGCGTGTGTATAGGACATAATATATCTATTTGTTATATTGAACGTATAATACAAGGAACTACATCGATTCGGTTGTGTTGTTGATGTTGATGATGATGATGATGGTGGCGAGTTTGAATGGCTTACATAATGATAGGTTTTTACATTATTTTATGCATTGCAATCTATATGAAAGAAAACAAAAAACAAAAAAAACAAAACAAGAACATTTATAGCTTTATTTTTACTATAAATTAATTAATTTATAAGAACTACAACAAGACGGTAAATTAATTCAGCATTCATAGCTTACTCAGAGAACGAGGCAGAGTTCTCGCAAGAGATCATCTCATCCGAGGCGAGAGTAAAGGCATTTTTTAATCAGATCAGATCAGAAAAGGCCCCCGATTTGCAGCAGGTAAATCGAGCTTATCGTGCGAGAGTTTCAAAGCCGTTTACATTGCTGAACAACTCTGTAATCTTGAACAAAAACAAAATTAAAACAAAAAACACTAAAAAAGGGTAAAGAACAAATGAAAAATTATAAAATAAAGCCACAGAACAAGAAAAGCGCAGAAAGAAAAACTGAAATACAAATAAAATCAAAAAAACAAAACAAGAAATTCTTAATACATGAAAATCGTGCGTTTCGTTTATGCCTCTGGCTGGGGGTTTGTTTTTTTTTTGGGCGGGGGCAAGCAGGGGAAATCCAACGACTCATCCATCGATCCATCGATCCGACCGAATGCAACCTGCATGTCGTAATCAATGAGATCTGAGAAAGAGCCGCAAAATTGTTCAATTACAAAAGGCACAGCCAAAACCACACACTCATCGCATTGCCGACGCCTGCAATTAACGAGCTGGTTGAGTAGTCGAGTCCATTAGGCCAACACTTGAGTCTCGTCGAGTCGCGTCCCCAGAACGTTACCAACTAACCAACTAACTTTGGTAAGCGGAAACCGAGCAACGTGAGCGAATTGAGAGCCCAAAACAAAGACGGCCAAACAAAACAAGCCGAGATCGCAACGATGACGTCGCTCCGAGTTCCAGTGGAAGCTTCACTGTCCAAAGCTTTTGGCTCAGACGGATCCCCGGAGCTGTTGCCTGTGTCAGTCGTTTTGAGCAACTCGTGCGCGCTGGACGTGTTTTTCCTCCTACTTTAACACTCTTTTCCTCTTGTCCCCCGAAAGCGAATCGAAGAAGTGTAAGCAACAAGTGCCAAAAAAAAAAGAGGGAAACAAAACAAAACTCCGGCTCGTACTCGTACCTACTTGCTTGTGCTGTGCTGTGCTGTGTGTGCTGCGCCCCCTCCAACTTTTTAATAATAAACTTCTGATGCCCGTCGTCTAACGCTAACGTTAACTACATATTTTTTTTTTATGGATCTTCATGTGCCTGGCTCGCTGTTCGCTTTGTGTTTAATTTCGACTCTATTTTGCTGTCTTTTTTTTCTTCTTTGACTTTGCGTGTTGCGAGCGTTGTTCTAATTTTGTAGCTGCTGCTTAAATTAGAGGGGCTATATCTTTAAGTATATATATACATATACTTCCGAGTGGAATTTGTGCTAAACACGTGAACGGCTCTGGCTGCGGGGCTTGCCGTGTGAAAAGCATAAATACCAAAAGTCGCAGTTATAAGATATTCAGATTCAGATATCTGGCCTAGCCCATTGCATAATAGGCGAATGCGAGGGGAAGCGAAAAAAAAAACAAACACAGCAAGCAAAACCGAAAGCGAATCTGAATCTTGAGTCTTGAGTCTCTCGGGTTGAATCTGAATCTGGTTTTTCCGTTGGCTCTGTGTGGCTGTTCGATTGGTTTTCGTTAGCTGAACTAACAAAACAAATAAAACCTTTTTTCCACTGTAATTGCGGCGGCTTTTAGGCGAAATAAACGAGATAGAGTAATGGGCAAAAATTAAAAAACAATAGAACGCGCACTCACTCGCGCCAAGAAGGTTTGGCTTGGCTGCGCTTTGGCGACGCCTAACGGCATTAATCAAGAGACTGAAGGCACAAGCACCTCTACCTCTTCTGGCAGTAGAGCCTCGCGTAATCAAAAGACTGAAGACACAAACTTGGCAGCGCCCCCTAAAATGTACCTAGGCACGGTTTGTCTGTCAGTATGTGAGTATGTGCCGCGTGGAGTGTTTTTAAGACAAACAGCTATAAAGTGTTGCCAAAAATAAACGCTTGTTCGCCATAGAAGCATGCGCTAATGAGCCATCGTTTAGCTTTGAGGCGTGGCAAGTGTTACAATCGCATTTGGTCAACAGGAAATAGAATATGTAATATAACAAACAACAACTAATGGCCCACGTCTACCACACGTCTGATGAAGTTCAAGACCCCTATTCAAACTTAAATGATCTAGCACTAAAAATAGCGAAAAATTGCGGTAGTAATTAGATAAATACATTAAAAGGTTGTTTTTCAAAGGAAATACTTTCTTTCTAACAACGTTTTATAAAACTTTTAGTAAAACTAAAACCTCTTACATCAATAAATAATTTGAAACCCAACTCTGAAAAGGGAATCATTATAAACCCCTTTGGGTAATCCGCTCCAAATTGATATACAACACTCTCCATTCATTTTTCAAAAAAAGATCCATGACCCAAGAACATCCGAGCATTTTATAGTAAATTCCTTAACCCATCCATCAAACATAATTATGGGGTTCACCTCCACACTCCAGTTGGTCTCATATATATTTCAAAGTTAATGACGTTGTCATAGAACAT